CAAGTAAGATTTTCTTTTCTTTTTTATGGAAACAAAAATAATGTTCTAAGATATTATTCCAGATTTTCGCATCATATCCGTGTTGCATTTTGTATTTTTGTTTCGACAATTTCTTGAATCTAGTTAATACCACTCTTGCTGGACAATTTGCAATTCTGCAAGAAGATTTTCGAAATATCTGCAATAGTCAATCAGAATTACCTTCGCACAACGAGTATTATATCCGCACGCGATTTGTGGCCTGTGTCCAAAAACATCAAATGCTTACAGCTGTCGTTGACAGTACTAAAGAGCTTTATCGAAACGTCATTTTGGGAGTAGTCATGATTCTCACCTTTCTCATCTGTTTGGAGATGTATCAGCTCATGACAGTAAGATTTCAGTCCGTATTGAGAAAAAATATTTTTTTTTTCCAAAAAAATCAAGACAATTCGCTCTAATAAAATGAAAGATATGAATTCAGTTAAGAATAGACTATCTGAAAATTAGAGTTTTTTATTGTTTTTGGTGGACCTAAACCATACATTTACCATTCACACTCATAGCATTGAAAATTCACATGACTTTTTGATGATTGAAATTAAAAGGAACTATTAACATATAAATAAATTAAATTTAAATTAAAAATAATTTAATATATATTAAATTAGTATATATTAAATTACTAATTTAATATATAATTTAATAAATTAATTTAAAAATAAATTTATTTAAATATATACCAAATGTGCTTGTCGGCATTCGTAGAGCATTGAATTATCCATTAACATATAATTTATTTTTGCATGGAAGTCAACGGACGACGATATACTCGCACAATTTCATTATTGTATCTACGTTGGGGGTAGCATAACGCAATTGTACTTTTACACACTGACATGCGACGATTTAACTGAAGCGAGTCTGGCGGTATCTGACGCAGCATATGATACGCATTGGTTCTACATAAAATCCAGAGTTTTGAAAAATCAATTGGTAATGGATTTGTCGATGGTTATCCTGAGATCACAGAAAGCATGCAGTTTAACAGTCGGCGGATATTCACCGGTCACTCTGCGGACATTTACTTCTGCAAGTTATTTTCGAACTTTTTT